TAATTTGGCTGGCTGGCTCCGTTGCCACCAGCACTGCACTGACTGGAATCACAAAACAAATGGCTTAAGAGAAATACACAGTTTCACATCAGCACAGTGTGTGCTCTGCAGCATGACCTGACTGCTCAGATCAGTCTCCCATTTACTCTGGTGGTCCTCAGCTTCCACAAGAAACTTTTCATTTTTAAAATGCGTTATGACCAAATCTTTATAAATTGCAGGGCAGAGGAGAAGGAGGACTGTTAATTTCCTGTTTGATTCTTAGCAATTAAGCTCGTGTGCCTGCACCACGCTGACCTGCCTTTGCCAGTGTAAGTTAACACAGGACGTTATTCTGTACCTCTTGGATCTGCTCAAGACACATTCTCCCTCAGCCTGTGATATTTTCACATTCTGCTTTACGTTTTTTGCATGACAAAATCTCTCTGCTGGGTGCTACACTAGCCAGATCAGGGAGGTAAGTTTATTCACTAGTCTATTAGCATAAATATGAGGCCACAAAGAGAACATCCAGAGAGTGCTTTTCCCTTACGTGCAAAACACTATTGCTTGAGACACACCACAAAGGCCATACTTAATTATGCAGCAAATAATTATGCACCATTTTAACCAAGCTACATCTATGAAGACTTAAAGTCTAAAGGAAATAATCATACTGGACAGAAATCTGCCAGTTTTAAACTCTTCTCTTGGCTGATTCCAAATCCAGAGCCTCTTTGGTTTGTGCACTATAGGCTTTTTACCTTTGGACTCGTTTTTGTCCTCATCTGTTTCAGCTTCAAGTTTGAGGCCATGCGGTTTCAGGCTGTTGGCAACAGACTGCATCTTGCTTATTGTCAGTTGATTTTGATTCACTTTCTTAAGGGCATCTGACACGGCGTGGCTTCCAGCCATACCACCTCCAGCTATTCTCTCACCATGGAGGCAGTGCCAGGTTCTGCTAGCTCATGAATGGGAATCTTCCCTACCCACCCAAGCCTTCCCCCCATCCCACAACAGGAAAGCCAAGGCTGTTGAAAGAAACAGGAATGGCAACAAAGCTGGCATTGTTGTGCGGAAAAACCACTGGCTACAGCTCACCCGCTTCATTTAGGGGATAACGGATAGAAGGATGAATCCCAGCTTTTGTTTAAAAAACATATTTGCCTTTTTCTGTGGAGAATGACTTGAAAATGGTAACAATGTCACTGCTGTAGGCAAAAAGAGAACCGGGGTGGGGGAGAATGGCACTATTTTTCTGAAAGTCCCAGTTGTTCAGGGTGGTCTTTGGGGTCTGAATCTCAGATCAACTTCACACTAGTGCATTTCATGGAGAAGGAGGGAAGGACCATTCAGGATCCTGTTGACAACAGTAGGGCATTTTCAAGCTCTTACTGATGGAGTTGCCCTGCTAGCCTGAGCAAAAAGGAGAGTAAGGAAGTGTTGAGCATATTAAGCTGTTTATACTATGAAGACCTTGGACTTACACTTTTTAAGACTTCAGGGACCACTGTGATCATTGTGTCCTGCCTTTTGTGTAGGTCAGACAGAGTATTCCACCCAGCAATCCCTGGATAAAAACCAACTAACTGTGGTTACACTGAAGTGCATTAAGAGACATCCACTATTGACCATGCTGAATGAAGGAACGAGGCCTGATGAGGGCCCTGTCTTGTATAGTAAGAAGTTTGATTTGCAGCCTCATCACATATTCAGTGGTCTGTACTCTCCCTATAACCTTTTTTGTAACAGCAAAATTCTTCTCCTGGACTCCTTATAGGAAAAATTGTATCTAAATACAAATGGATGATCCCTTTCTGTCCATGGACCACAATTATCACTCCAGATTTGAAGATATAAATACAACAGATAAAAGTTGTATCACTCATCTCATCATCAAGCAACAGCAACTCTATAGGTTAAACCTGAAGATGAACTTTTATAGCACCTATAAGCATCACCCTAATGGACCCATTTAATGATGTCTCCATGTTTTCACAGTGCAGCTGTCCGTAATAATGTTTTTTGCAGTGAGTCCAAATGACATTAGTGGCAGATTAGGAATCTGACACATCAATTAGTAATCCATTCACTTTTTCCAAAGTCTACATCAGAAACTATCTGAATGCCAAACTGGGCTTGTGATCCCCACATACATTTGTTAGTCTTAGGGCAAGAAGTAATAAATCTCAGCTTTTCTACATTCATAAGGAAATTAGCCTTCAATAAAGCTCACAGTTACAGCTCTCCAAAATTTATAGTTTTTCTAATACGGATATAAGTTTTGGTTGGATTTTTTTTATTTTTAAATTAAGAAACTTGCACCTAGCTTTCCTTAGTTTTCATTTTTAAACCTGAAGCTCACGTCAGCTTGTCTTCATCTCTGCAATGTATTTCCTTACATTTTATAGTCACTTAAAAACTTGAAGTTTGTAGGTAAAGCGTGAAAACAATCCTTCTATTTGCACAAGAACCTGTTGAAACAGGACTGCTCAGAGCATCCTGTTGCAGTTCAAAAACAGAAAAATAAGGAGAGGTCTGACACCTAGCAAGGTCAATGAAAAGACTCCTGTTGACTTCAAGGCCAGAAAGGCACCAGTAAATTGACCAGACTTCGAAATAAGTAACTGGGTCACTGGTGGATGACAGTCTAGAGGGATGATTTTGACGCTCAGGTTGGGTGAGGAGAGACAGATGGCATTTTTTCTGCTCTCTTTTGACTTGGCACACTGCAGTTTGATTCTGCATAGTTATGGCTGGGATTAAGCAAGGGAAGAAGGGGCAGAAGAGCTGAGAGCTTGCTCCAGTGAGGGATAAAGAATTGTAGTCATTGTGAAACAGGCTAACCTGGAACTTGTCCCCAGAACACCCGTGGCAGCAGAATCCTGCCAGCAGCTTCTCTAACTTAACCCAGCTGGCTCCTTTGGTCAGAGCCTTCCTGATTCACTTGGTGTCTCAGAGCTACATTCCCCAAACACCTTAGATCTCTAGGCTGGCTCTTACAGACCCTCCAAGCCCCTCCAGTACTCAAGTATTCTTCCCTGTCTCTCTTGCCTGACCCTGTCCTAGTCTCTTCTCTCTCAGTAAAGTTATAAAGCAGCTCTGTTAGAAAATGCAGTCTCCTTTGTCATTTGTCCTTCATTTGAATCCTCATTTAAGCTCTCCATCTCTCCCCACAATTGGATCTATGACTCTCCTGAAGCAGAAGAGTCTCAGCACAATAGCACACTCACTGTCCAAATCCTCCAGGGTACTAAACCCAAGCCACCCTCTGTCAACCCCTTTAGACATCTCTTGGAAATAGTTTTCCAAGATGGAGGCTAAGAAAGAAAACCAGGACATTACGTTCTTACCACCAAAATTACACTCAGAAAAGAAAATGGAGTTTGCTATTTTCTGCAGAGGTGGAGAGCTGTATCCGAAAGCATTATATTCCCTATTTATGTTGTGGATTTTTTGCAAGGCATTATTAGAAGGAAGCTTGACAGCTCTGCTGGGAAACTTGGCAAACACCAGGGCAGACCAGTCTCACTCTTTTACACAGCTGGATTTTCTGCAGCTCAAGTATTTTTCCCTCCTGCTCTTGGCCCATCCAAAGATGAGTGCTGAATTTCCCTTAACATTACCCACAGGTTAATTTGTTATTAAGTTTAGGCTCAGTTTAACGTCTTGGCATGCAATTTAAATAAAATCAAAACCAAATGTCCTTCATTTCTGCTGAAACCACCCTCGGTTTGGCTCAGCTGCCTTTGGTGTCACTGGAGGGTGAACAGGAGATTCATTTTCGTCTTGTCATTTTTGGTAGTAACCTAAATATCCTCCACGCAACTTTGAAATACATTGCCATAAAGTAATTATTTGTCATAGAATGAGATTGGCCAGAATCTGAACATGATACATTGGCTCTGACTTAGCTGTCAAGTACTTGTTACTGTAGGAAAGGAAGATACAGCAGACACCTAAACAGTAGGAGTCCTGAAGGGTGCAGACAAAGCTTATGCACAACTTTTTACTAAAGGAACGAAGGTGGGATTTCCCACCTTCCATTCAGAGAGGCTAAAGGAAGGAGGACTTGAAAATCCCATAGGTACAGCCCTTGTCCCTGTATAAATTTGTTCCTGGTCTAATTATATACCTTACACAGTCTAACTGTGACACAGAGCAACCAGAGTGATGTCAATGGAAAGGGAAAAAAGCCCGTAAGTATTATGAGTAAGAGCACGTTACACTGAGCCTGGAAAGCAGTGAATGGGGATGCTGACCTTTGGGTTAACTCATTAACTGCACTAAGATGATGCAGGTGACTCTTCCAGTCAATTTTGTTTTCTTCTGTCCATGGGATATTTACAGGCAGCTTTAAAAATTCTTCAAAGTCACCTGCAGAAAGTACCTGGTAATTTCATTCTGCACATTTCTGTCTGACTAGGAATTGTCATGTTATTTGCTGCTTTTTCCAGTCAGTGTTCAAAGTGTGTCAGTTAGCTGTGATTGAACTGATAAATCAAGTTAAATGATTTCTTTCTGTTGATCATATAATACTGCTCAAGAGCATTTCCAAAATACTGTTGTTTACAATTTCAGCCACAATAGATTACTTCACTTGGAAAGGTGAAGACTTTATCAAAGTACTTAACTATTAAAATTCTTGACGTAGACACCTGAACTTCATAGAAAATTTAGCAAGTTCAAAGATAAGGTGATTTTTGTGGACCTATGTTACAGCATAAACCAAACCAGAATTTGCCTGTAACTATTACCATCAATCATTTCACAGAATGAGGCCTCTTTGTGTTACTTGAAATCAAAACATAGAGTGGAAAATAGGGGAGGAACAAACAGAATAATTTGTGTGTCCTGAGTGGAATATTTACATAAGCCTCCTAAAAATTAAGTTATTTATCAATCTGCTAGATTTACCAAATCAGAACAAACAAGCCACACTAGTAATTGCACTTGTATGGCTTTAAATAAAAGTATGCTACAGTGGCAACAGTGAAGAAAGAGACAGGACAAGTTCTTACTTGTGCCCAAGTTCATGTGCAATTGTAAATGCCAGGTTGAGACCGTTGTCCTCAGCAAGAACACACTTTCTCTTGGCGCTGCAGACACCTCCCAGGTAAGCAATTCCTGCAACAGAGACACAGAGAATCTTCCCATCAGAATCAGTGAAACAGCTCATTCGCTCAAAGCACACAGCAGTAAATCAATCAAAATGATAAAAAATGTGCCCAGTATGAAAAACATTAGAGTAGTTTGCACATCAAGTCATGTGAGTATTTTGTTCATCGACCCATTGAAAAAATGAGTCTAGAATTTTGTCAGACAGGAAACAAGTTAATCACACTCACCTTCACTGCTTTCATTGGAAAATATATTTCACTGTCCATAGAGACTCAAAAATTCATCTAAGCTTGTCTATTAGTGCCACGTACTACAATGTCAGAACTAAGTGAAGTAGTAGCAGTGAAGTAGCCTTAACAAGTATTTAAACGGAGTTCTCCAGATTTTCAGAATAAAACTGGGAAAAGGAATAAAACAAAAAAAGCAGAGACTCTCTGAGAAGATCTTACATTTTCCCTTATTTTCATACTTAAAGAAAGCAAGAGTGGCAGACTCAGACGAGCTGGCAAACTCCTGACGGTGAGTCACAAAGCCAATGTAGGTGGCAGAAGTCTACTATGACTTAGTGGAATTTAGGATTTGATCCCATGGACAATTGCACAGTACTCTCCAGGCCTGTTTGTGTGGGCACCACAAATGGTTGTAGGCTGAAGTAAAAAAGGAATGAAACTTCTGCTATGGAAAACCAATAGTCCTCATATGACCTTCCTGCATCCAGACTGTCCTCTGCAGAAAATGCCGTTGTACTTGGAAACTTGTGATGGCATCACAGGCCACACACAGGACAATCTGCTGCTGAGATTTTGTTTCATCTGCCACCTAGAAGCCACAGCTAAGCCACTGGGAGTTATGCACAAAGATTAAAGACAGAGCCTAGGGATGTCTCTATTTATACAAGTCCTCCACTGCTAAACAGGCACATCTCAAAAGCCTCACAGACAGTTCAAGTGTGCACACAAACCAAGATTTCCAGATAGCATGCAGTGACCTAAGTGCTGAGTTCATCCTGCCACTTCAGACATCCTCCTGCCGTGCTGCAAGAAGGGGACGGGTAAACACCTTCCCCAAATGTCTGCCAATTTTTTCACAGCAGATATATTTGCTTATACTTAACAGAAACCAAGAAATCTATTTCCTCACTGTAATGCTGTTCTGGCAGAGGGGCAGCCAGGATCTAGCTGCCTTTAATGAATAGGCCACAATCATGCAATGGAGACATGATCTCTTTTTTTTTTTTTCCCTTCTGGCAGAGTTGACAAAGCTGTGTTTATCAGGGTGCAAATGGTATAAAACTTCAGACCTGAAAGAATTGCAGTTCTGGTTTTTTTATGAGTTTTGACAATAATATGGATATGTATATTTGCTGCCATGGGGATTGTGGATGGAAGGAAGGGATGGGCAATAGCCTTTTAATTCAGCACTAGCAGCAGAGCGAAGGCAGTGCAGAAATCAGACACTAACTTTTGCTTATTTTAAAAGCGCTGACTGTGGAAGGCGAGATTCATACCACATGCAAAAAATGAAATCAAGGTTTAGACTTTTTAAATCAAGAATCACAGAAGGCTGGATTTCAGCACTATTCTTAAACTGACTTGGTTTTTACTCACAGAACATTCATAAGGATGTCAAGGAATTGTTCAGGAAGTAATATGTTACTTTGAGAAGGAGTTTGCAACCTCAGTCCCCACACCTGATGGCCTAATGAACAACTCATAGAACAGAATCTCAGCTGTAGGTGTCTGCAGTGTGTCCTGGGCTATGAACATACCTTCTGTTTCTTTTAAAGATCACCAAGCATTTCTGGTTGATTTCTAAAATGAAAGTAGATATTTCTCCTGATTTGCTACCATGCACCCCTATGGTGACTTACAAATAATAATAACCTCACCAATAGCAGTCTTTTGGTTCCAACTCTACTTGGGATCAGCAATTTCTGGGAATACTTTTGGCGGAAGGAAAACACTGTTTGGGAAAATGTTACTTTATTGTAAAACCAATAACAGAAGGTCTGAGATTAGGAGGAATTCCAAGATTTTGGTTAAACAGACGCAAAAAACTGAATATTTGAGACACAGAAGATGAAAGGGAACAATTAGGTGACTCAGCCAATCCTCTGCTTCTTTAGATCAGTGCCTTTGTGCATTTTTGAGTTCTTAAATCCTCTCTCTGCGGGCACACATGAAACATACATGAAGGATGCTTCATGCCAAATTGCTAATCCACTCCATAGCTGCCTCTCCCCTGAAGCACACTGTGTTGTCAGAGGAAACAAAACTGTGGTGGCCCATTGGCTGCTGGTAATCCTGATCCCCAGCTGTGAGAGAGGAATTCAGTGGGGACTGGTGAGTTCACCTTCACTCATTAGCTTTGCTCAGCCCAGGCTCTTCCCACAGAAGTTGTGACCCTGTGGCACAACTACCATCTACTCCAAAGATGCTCCTGGAGATCCTTCTGCCTTTTGGGGATAAGGCAAACATAGCTCAAAATAAACTAACCCAACTCAGCTGAAATACACTTTTACTAAATAGGGAGGGATATTTTGATTACCTTTTAGCAGTTTTAGGTACAGCCAACAGTAATAACCAGAGCAGGATTCTTACTGAAAGCATTTCATTCCTACTACTAAACCTGATTATTCCACCTTTATCTTCCAATTAACCAGTCCCAATACATATCTCATTTGTGTCTGACACATGAGATTTTAACTGAGAAGCAACAAACCAGTATTGCATCTCAAGCTCACTGGTCAACCAGGCAAAACAATTCAGCTTGAAATGATTCATGCTAATTTCCTTCCAATAAATTTCATAAAATGAGGGTGAGTCAATATTTGCTGTCACTTGGAGATGGAAGAGGGAAGTATTTCCATGTTTGGGAGATGTGGTGTAGCAAAATAGTCTAGAGTTCTGTCAATATATTAAAAGAAGTTAAATATCAATTAAAATGTCAAAAACATGACCTCAAATGGCAATTCTTCTGAAGTCTTTGTTTAGCAGTTCTAATCCCCACTGCAACTGACTGGCAGTAACACTGCTCTGTGCTAAAAGTCTCAGTATTCAAAGGCGTAAAACTAAGGACTGAGTAAAACTAAGTACATCCACCGGTGGTTGGAAAAGTGACTGTGGCTCAGTCACAGACTCTTAGCCACCTTATTTTTATTAGTTATTTTCAATGCTTAATATGACCCCTGTGTGGCCAGTTTATAATATTTGCAATGACCAAATTTAAAATGTAGAAATCTAAAATTATTTTATTGTTACAATTATTAAAGACTTCTGTTGGAGTGGAGCCCAGGGATCAGACAATATAAGAACAGAAGTTGACGGGGGAGGGAAACCCATCATCCTAGAAGAGCAGACAGAAGAAAACTTTGCAGTATATGAGATGAACTCAGTAAGAAGTCCAGCTCAGAAGCTGCTGAGTGCTCATTAATGAAGAGTCATTCTGGAACAGCAAACCAGTTATAACAAATTGTTAAAAAATATTTAAAGCCTGAAAAAGCTTGCCTCAAACATGGTTTTGTAATATATATTTTCTATCAAACTATTTCCTAAGACTATAATTTTCTTTTGGACCAATACATTTTACCATTACTTCTTTCATTAGAACATAAATAGAAAATATGCTATTGATCTGCATACATAATGCAGTTCTTTAGTAAATATATCTGAATCACTAAGATAAATGCAACTCTTTTGTAACGCAATACAATGATCCATATAATTGATACACAGAGAAAAATACACCTTTAACCAACAATGATAGTAGGATAATGCTTTGGTAGCTGCATTAATATGCTTTGTTTCCTTCATTGGGATGAATGGGAACTGCTGTTGTAAAATTTCAGATTTTTATCTGAATCCTACAAGTCTGCAGAACTGAAATCGAAATTTCATGAATTCAGACATCTTTGTGAAAATCCTGGCATGCTGTGGTTCTGCCAGGCTGGGACTAATGTCAGAGGAACTTCTCTTATTTGATAATTGTGCTTCTAGCCCTGTCTGGCAGACAAGTGTGCGAAAAGGAAAAATAGGGAAGAAAGATGAACTGTCTTTTGGATTGGTTGGTTTGTTTGTTTTTTCAAACAACAACAACAAAGAAAAAACCCACCAAAAAATGCACTTCTGTGCTCATGCAAATACATAGGCAGTGGCTTTCTTCAGGGAAAAAAGTCCTTATCTTTCCAGATAGACTCCTAACTGCCAGCAATTACCACAAATCTATTTTTAATATCAAAAAAGGGAAAGTAGGAGCATCAGTGGTAGAGAAAAAGGAAAGCCAATTATTATTTTTACTATTACCAAGTGTGAGGGTTTTTTCCTTTCTCTCATGAGAAATTGCATAATTACAGTCCATAACTTCTGTGCTTGGGTTTGAACACGCAAAGCTATCTGCACTTCCACAGCAAACCTTAGGACACAGGCAACTGTGTAAACTCAGATTTATCCAAAAAGTTGTCATACATAAACAGTTTGCAGCTGTTGGCCTTTCTGCCAGCTAATGAGCCCTCTGCTAGCAGTATCTCTAAGGGGAATGATTACATTTATCCTACCAGCTCAGCTAGGCATTAGGATATTACATACTTGCCACATCGATAGCCAAAGCTGGAAGAAGACCAGTTCTGGTGCGTGGGTTCACATTTCATCCTACTCGAAACACGCGGGGCTTCCTTCTGACAACTATGGAATATTCACTCAGCAAGTGGTTTATCCAGGTACTCCAGCTTTCAACTCTCTAATGTCTTGTTTTCATTGCACTCCTAATACTTTAATCTCTTCTTTTGCCAGCCACCTCTGGATACAGAACTTTTACTTGATTAAAACTTGGCTAGCTTTCCTCTTCTCAACGTATTTGCTGTTGGGAAGGGAGCCAAAGTTGAAGTCCTGAAGTCTGCTTGGCACAGATGGAGACTCACTGCATATCCACATGCACAGAGCAAACCTCCCATTCCCCACTATTACCAGTTTGGTGTTGAGCTGATGTTTTTCTCATCCTCCCACGATTTT